TTTTGTCGCATCCCCTTCAAAAATTTGCTCTTTTGAAATTTGTAACCAAAATATCATTATTCCTTATCTCCATATGCAGCAAAACATTGAACCTAATAGAGCAATGATCACTTGCACCCAGATGTTCCGAAGTTTCCATCCTCTCAATTATTTTTGGTTTCTAAGTTAACAGTAAATCTAAAATAGTATTATTTGTAGTAGATTCCTTGACTAATTGGTGAAGGAAGCCATCCTGAACATTTCCAAAAACCTTTCTCCCTCATAGTTTGATTCTAGAATTTCCCAATCTGTATGCCTGAAATTAAAATCACCCATAATTATGACTTCATTAACAGTTGAAATCTTATTCTCATTATAATATTTCTCACTAATTTCATCAGTATCATTTGGTGGTCTGTAACAAATTTCTACTAAAAGCTTTTTCCCTTTATATCCACTAATAGAAACGAAATTGATTCAACCTCCTTGCTTTTATCTTTGATATCCTAAACTTTAACAGGATATAACTCACATTTTACATACAAGGCCACTCTTCCCTCCTCTTTAATACTCTATCCCTATTAAATAGCCTGTAACCGTGTATTTCAAAGAAATTTCTGTCATCAAAATCATCTACATTTAACCATGTTTCAGTTATTCTCATTATATCAAAGTCCCTAAGGACAGAAATATAAAAAAAAACAGTAACTAGATTAACTTATTATGTTTTGGAATGAAAACACTATACAAGATTTTGTTCGTCAGTTAATAACGTTTTTTTTTCCATTCTCTTTCAGCCTGTTATCTCTATCTCTTTTTATTATTTTCAAATATACAGTAATAAAAAAAACACTCTTTACAGAGTTACATTTAAACTTTAATTAAACAACTTTATTATCAATGTATGTCAATAAACATGCACAATAATCTGTTGATTTCAATCCAGAACCTATATTAAATGAGTCAGAGAATCATTGTAGTTAGGTGCTGAAAAGAACTTTCAAGACAGACTTATGCTAAAGTAAACACTTTGAAAAAGGTTGAACTGTTGAGAACTAAGGCTCTTTATTGAAACAGGTAAACTCAGACCTGTTCATTGTCAATAAGCATCATCACATGACTGATTGTTCTCTTACAGCATTTGTGGATTGTAACATACAGATATCATCCATTTGGTCGGTGAAATAAATTACTCCTGTTAACCCCTTTCTACACTAATTTGCAACGTTGCAGTAATGTTTGTGTGAGAAAAGTAGATATTATCTGCTTTCAGTAACAACAAAGGCAACTGGAACTAAACATTTTCAACAGTTTTCAGGACCATGTGTTTATGCCAAAACCACATAGTTGTAGACTGAATGAAAAATTAATATATTAACAAAAGCAGGTAGAAAACATATGATATGCCTGCATATCACAATTGGTCATGACCATGTGTACTGGTCAAGGGCAGACATTTTATAGTTGTAATACTATTATACACTATTTTTCTCTGAAAAACCATAAGGCATAGAATAAAGAATGTAGTGTGTAAAGATGCAATGAGCCTGATACAATTGTCTCGTGACAAGTACAAGTTTTTATATTCATGTTTTTGCATCATAATAGGTGATATTAAGTGTTGTTCTCAGCTGGGTACATCATATTCACAAGTATTGACCAACTAACTATAGACAACATGTATAGAAACTTTGAAAATTTACCTGAATAAAGTTATATATCTTTTCTAAGTTATGAAAGTATTATCTGTAATATAACCAAATTAAAACATATATATATATATATAAATTAAAAGTATTTGTGACCCAATAGACTCATGCCATTAATCATAGATTAGTATGAAACACTGTGATACTTACACAGAACAACATACATGCTATATTATGATACAGTAACAAACACTTAAAACAGTCAAATATACTTCATATACATGGTAAAAGTCCTTTTGCGGTAGTGGTGCAAACAATATATATGATGGTAGGAACGCATCCTTCAACACAGGCAACATGTTTTAATACCCTATAAGATAGATATGTTATAAACATTACATTAAATTAAAAGCTGACAGTTTTACATATTTTTCTTTGAAAATGGGAAAAAATGTTCTATAGACATTAAATTTTTGCATAAAACTGTGATTTCTTGTGGATGACCAACAAAGAAGAAAAGTTAAGCTTGATAATAATTGCAGATTTTTAGGCTTGGGCATATAATTTCCAATAAGTTGTGACAATAAAATTACATAAAAAAAGAGACTCAACATAGATTTATACAAAATCAAATATTTAACGACTGACGGTTAACAATACAAGTAAATAATACTAACACAATAAATAACAATACAATCCAGTGGTCAAGTGATTGTGTGTACAAAAACAAATATTTAATGATTCAGAGTTAACAATACAAATATACAATACCAACACAATGATACAATCCGGTGGGCAAGATATTGTGTGTGCTTTGAAACTTTAAATAGAAAGTGTAGGACCCAGCAACAGCTAATGAAGACCTTAACAGAAAAATACTCCTGTTAGCCTGTGTGCTCTCTCTTGTATGTGTGAGTGAGTGAAATGAAACAATTTAAACTAAAAATACCCCCCCCCCCCCAAGTTAAGTTAACATAGTCTTACTTTATATAAATACACTAAAACTGTGACCAACTTGGCTTTCACCAAAACAAATTCACTTAAAAATTGACTCTAACAATGGTGGAGCCAATGTTTCATTAACTGTGTGTTGGATATACATGACTATTCAATTTAAGAGTTTATTATTTAGTTTATTTAATGTTATATAGTTTACATAACAAGAGTGTTAAAAGTTATTTATTTTAAAAACAATAGTTATGACAAGTTTCATTATGTAACTTTATGAGTCGTTCATTGTGTATGTAGATTAATTGTTGTACTAGGCTTTTGTAATATTGCTGATGCCATCTTACTTGAGACCTCTAAGTTTTATGTGAAATATTGTTGTTACTAGAGGGGTAGATATTTTTATATTTTTCTGTCACATGTTATCACTACATACAGATACAGAGTGCAAGTGAAATTAGACTGTGTGATTGTTAGGTTAGCCATAACAGGTGATATCTAAAGTGAGTTTTACAGTTTGTATTGTAACCCATGAGGTAGTGTAAGTGAACTTATCCCTGATTCTATTATGATAAAAGAGTAGAAAAGAATAATTCGTCATGTCAATTGCATTCTAAAGTAATTGAATCAGCCTGTATGGACTTTTGACATGAAAGATAATTATTTAAAGCTTTAAATACATCTGTAATAACCAATAGTGTAATGAATTTTTTACTTGTTTTGAATATATTATTAAGTGGATTGTGTGCAATCTATTTATTGTTCAAATTTCTCACCAACAAGTCACAGACACCTACTGTAAAAGGCTTGCATTACATTTTGTGCCTATTTTGTTCATGCTGTTGAAATATAATTTATCGTAATACTTGGTTTTTCTTTCCATTCAGTATTATTTTGTGGAGTTACAGACAGAGAATTATTTTTATCAGGAATGTGCAAATATATTAATGTTTGATATTGATATCTTATCTCTCTTATTATGTAGGATGTTTGTACCATTGAGTATTTTATAGTTGTACCTAAGAGTGATGCGATTCATCAGGCTTTTAGTATTCTGCTCAAAAAGTATTTTTTTACTGTATCTCATAGTATAATATTAGGATTATAATAAATTGTGAAACTTTTAGTGGTCTAACTTTTATGAATTATCAAATGTGCATATAATAATTATCATTATTATACTTTTTAGGAAACAAAAAGTGGAAAGAAAGCTGCTGAAGCCACAGAACTAAAATTAATTGGGCAGCAACCTCCAATTGATAAATTAGATGCTTCATTATCAGCTCTTGTAAATTGTGAGTAAGTACAATTTTGAAATATCTACATATTCAAGGTAAATTATCTTTAAGTAAAACATTTTACTGTAAATATCTATCTTTCATATTTATATTCCTGTATCTTTAATTAAATTTGTGTTTTCTTGTAGATGTTTTTATGTACGGAAACATCTGTTAGCTGAGTTCTTGCACAGACCTTAAAATATAACGTTGATAAATGGAAACATCAGCTCACGTGGATACGTAGATCCTGAAAGTCGAGTTGTTCAAAACTTGAAAATAGTGATGATAAATGGACCAATTGTTGGTTGAGATGTTGCAAAAGAAATATCTGCTGAAGCTTTTCGCCAGACTCTAATCATAGCAGAACCGTCTGGAAAATGATCTATAGGAAATAGTACAGCTTATAAAATGAGTCAGATCAATGTAGGCCAGTAAGGCAATCACTGATTGGCATGTCCTTAAGCCAGTCAGCAAATGCCATAGACCTACTGAAGGATGTGTAGATTGTATAGGAATTATTTTTGGCGGCAAAGGACAGGTTTATGTGTTTTAATAAAGGTGGCTTCCAAAATATAGAGATGAAAGGTTGACTGACCATTTGCAATAATTTCAAACCTGCTATCCGTGTAGTTGTCAGCACAAGTCGGGTTCACTAGTAAATGCTGGCCAATCGCTGATTCACATTTTGGTGGTAGAACTTTTGTTTTACAGGAGCGACATGGTAAATTATTTTCTTTGACACTCTTATATCTTATGGATGTGTGTATATGTTGTTTAATTCTATCCTGCAATCTTTGTGAAGTGCGACCTACATACCGACATTCACAGTGGTACGATAATTCATAAATAACCATACTTTTCTGTGTGGTAGGTATTGCATCTTTGTGTGTTGCAGGCAACAAATTATGTGCAGAATAAGCACAGTAGGGGTTCACTGCAGGAAACCATTTAGTAATGGCCATTTTCAATTGTTTGTCAAACTTTGTTGAAATGTTACCAAATCCATGGTAGTTTTAGGTAAACAGGACATTTGTTAGGACCAAATTTTGGATCAGTTGAGAAGCTAGCAATATTCCTTACAGTAATTTGATTGATGACGTTTTCTGAATTGTTTTGAATATATTATTTTAAAACGAGTTGATGGTGTGCTGTCCATTTATTGTTTCAATTTATCACCAACAAGTCACAGACACCTACTGTAGAAGAATCCTAGCCCATTCATATTTTATAACCCTGACAGCATATTTGTTTAATTATCCAATTTATATATACTTTTCCATATTAATACAACTAGAAATACTTTAAATTTAGAACTGGGATAAAACATTTTTAAAAATACAGTTTTACAAGGTTAACTTGAGATCATCAGGTACAGACAGAAAATGGTGCATTGAATAATTATGATAGCATAGTAGATCACTGATTCAATATTAGTCAGATATTTATGTCCAGTTAGTTTTTATTTTACTCACAAAGAAAGTATCATTTGTAATTAGTATTTTGTACAATTAATTGAATAAGATTTAGTAAATTAATTTTCTGGTAAGGTACTCTCCTTCCTCTCACAAGATTAGCTTTTTTTTGTTTTGTTCTGCCCTTTGTCTGTGAACTTTTTCAGAGACGCATGCCAAATGCCTTCATCATCCCTCTGTTGAAATCCAAAGTACGAACACGTCTTTCATGCAAATCATCATGAGTCACCTCTCCATCAATAGGAGAGCACTACTACAACGTGACACATGTGACTCCCTCACTTCTCGTTTGGGAGCTGTCGATCTCAGACATTGTTTCTTACATTGTTCAGTTACCTTGAAGTGGTTTATTTTTATTTTGCATTTTTTATATTTTTCGTAACTTTATTTACTACACTTTGCAGTTGTGGAGTTAATATTTTTATTAAAGCATTACTTCCTTGTGTTTGCCACTTTTCCCTGCTTATGAATTCCAAAGTTACAGTCACCACTTCGGGTACCTTGCCAGTGCCTGATACCATATTTTCAGTGACAGGCGTGGGTGACCCATCGGGAGATTGAGCAGTACATGAGACAAGCTCTCTCACCAACTTCTGCTCCACTTCCTCCTGAGCCTTTTGAGCCAGACCAGGCTGACAATGATTTTGATCGTTTGTTACCCCTCCACTTCGAGTTTGCAGTGCTTTCCCGTTCACTACCTGATGATTCAGCTTGTCCATCAGGTATGTGATGTTTTGTCTCTTACACCTGTTTCTTATGACTCTAGACCTTCCCTCTTACATGAAACAACCTCCCGACCTTATTTAGTCTTTCTCCCATCCCCGATATTAGGGTTCATGTGGACTGATTTTCCTCTCCACTGGGGGAGGGCGTTAGTATGCCTCATTCCCCACGGACTTTGCATCAGTCCACCCTTGCTTATCATTGGGTGGACTTTCCATTTGTCGATCAATAGTTGTTGGAGTTGGTTCTACTTGTTGTGGGGGGGGGGCAAACCCATATTACCTTGTCCAACTTACCCAAGCCCAATTTTCTCACCTATGTCTCTCCCTCACGACCCTGTTAAGATGCCTTTCCTCTCTTCACCTTCTGTCAGAGGCTCTTCACAGAAATCCTGAGAGGTTTTATGCTGAAATCCTCTCTATCCTTACTTCTACATTGGCTCACCTGTCGTCTTTGGCTCTTCAAGTTTGGGATCCCTTGGATAACCCTATCCTTCTCCTTCTTTCCATTCACATGGTCTTTGCCTGGTGGTTGAACAGAGACAATACCACAGTGGGTGTACCTCTACCCTGATGCTTCTTTTTGGGTTGGGATGCATATCTAGATATTCAGGAGTTTTTGGACTGTTGGTCTGTCAGTGAGTCTCTTGTAACTGTTTGCTGTCTGTCAGGTTTTGGTTCACTTCCTTCTGTCTCTCCTTAATTGGTTGTTTATGATCCATTCTGACAAATCAACGGTTGTCTTGTACATCACTCAGCAAGTGGCACTTGGTTGAGGTCTCTTTGTTTCTGCAAGTTGGATCTCCTGTTTTGGTCCCACAGCCATCACATTCGCTTGTTCGCATGTCATATACCATGTGCCCTAAATCTGGTCATGGATCTGTTGGATTTTATAAGGCCACGATTCTTTACAGTTGGTGTCTGTGACAGTAAACAGACAGAACACAACCCACTTGTTTTACAATGATATATTCAAAATAAGTCATATGTATGTACACAAATATTTGTTACGCTATTGGTCATCACAGTTATATCCATAGATTCAAATAATTGCCTCTTTTTCATCAAAGTCCACACAGGTAGGTTCAATTACTTTAAAACTCCCTTTTACAAGGCATATTCTTTTTCTCTACTCTGTTATCACAATACAGTCAGTGATAAATTAATTTGTATTACCCTGTGGGTTACCACAGTTGTTTCCAGAGTTTTAAATAATTCTCTTTTATGTCAAAAGTTCACACAGGCTGGTTCAGTTACCTTAGAACCCAATTGAGAAAACAAATTATTCTTCTTTAATCTGTTATCACAATACAAAATTGCAGTTTTAACACTTAAAAAATTGCGACTATACACTTTTTATGGCTAAACTTACAAATACAATCTAGATCTATATCTTTCACTGACTGTGTTTTACTTTCACTTTCACCAACTTCCTTACTTGCACTATCTTTGTTGCCTATATATATATATTTATTTATATTGCCTGACTGAGGCCTAGAAGTTTCTATAATCTATGAGACATTATGATGTAACAATACTCTTTTAAAGCAATGAGAAAATTTCAGAAGATTTGAGTAACATGACATCAATTCACAGCAATTGAACTACACAACAAATAATTCTTAAACAGTTATGTAAGCAAACCTATGATAAAAAATTGCTTCTAAAAATATTAAATTTAACACATGCTTTATAACTATCTAAATCATAACTCTTGTATTAAATTTAAATGAAACACTTGTGTGTATTTAACAGGGTCATTTATAGTGCCCCATCCAGATTCTCCCAACAGAGTGGTCCCACAACCCACTCTTGTTTAGGTGGCTGTGTCCATAGTGAGGTACTTTGGAACTGGGTGCATTTGATACCCACCTGAATTTCAAGCTAACTTGGTTTTGGTCCTCAATTCTACATCCTGTGGTTGTAAGTGTCAATGCTCCCAGTCAGGATTGTGGGCTATTACCTCTATGCCTATCCACTCATCTGTATTCTTCTTCATGTCCTGTCTGTCATACAAACCCCTCCATGTTGCGTCCTCTTGGTGGTGCCACTTTGGCCAACACAGTCGTGATTTCCACTTCTGTGCCCACTCCTACTGACACCTCCTCTTTCTATTCCCCTCTCACCCACCTTCCTCATACAACCTCAGTTGAGCATGCTATATCCTTTCTTTCCAATGCTCCATCTTCACGTATGGCTTTGTTTAATTTATTGCTAAACAGGCAGGACTTTCCACCAACAGTTACTTGCCTGTTTTCTCAATATGTTTACCCTTCTTCATTATCTATTTACTAACATAAGTGGTATGTCTACCTCCATTGGTCTTCTCATCATGGTTTTCCTCCATCCCATCCTTCTCTCCTTCACCTGATTTCCTTTCTTACCTGGCTTTTCAACAAGGGGTTTATGGTATCCACCTTTCTTGGTTATTGTATGGCCTTGTCAGCTACTTTCCATTCCACAATATTTCACTGTGTTTTCACTTCTCTAGTACTCACCCTATTGTTTCATGCCTTTTAGCACTCTTCTGATTGGAACTTCAATGTCATCCTCCATGCCCTTATACTTTCTCCCTTTGACCTATATAATCCTGTATCTTATATAATCTCTCCTTACATACCTTTTCCCTCCTCCTCTTGGTGGGTGTACATCACCATTTGGGTTTGTTCGCTCTCAATGTCTCTCCTTTGTTATATCACAAGACCTAAGTCATCCTCTACCTGGATTGTTTTGTTTTTTTACCCATAATATTGGCCACACATGAGGGCGATTTGCCTTCAATCCATTTTTCCTTCCATTCTTTTCTCACATTTATCATTGTTCCA